CAATTAACTTTTTCGGAAACAATATTTAAACAATAAAACTTTAGATACATTTCTTAGCTATTTCGATCTAGGTATTGTTATAACTATACTCCAATAATGCTTTTTTTCCAGTTGATTGTTTAAATGAAATGTGAAAAAATTACATTGTTGAAACAAAGAAACCAAACTATTGCATTAATCTTTCCAATATTGTGAACTGAAACTTATAAAAAAATAATTACACACTTTGTAAGATTTTATAGATGAATTAATAACATGAAAAATAGGTATAATATTCAGAAGATAGGCACACAATTCTTTTAAAATAATTATTTATAATTTACTTCTAAGCAAAAGATACTAATATCTGGAAGGAATAAGACTATTGGCACTAACTCTGTACATCACACATTTTTATCGATAGCTTAATTTTCTTTTGCATTGAAAGTACATCTCGTACCACGAAACTCAATTTTCTTAAAACATTTAAAAAATAGTTATATTTAGTTTAGTTACGTAAGAAATTAAAGAAAATACACAGAAGTTTACTTCAAATTCAATCAGAACCAGTTTACTCGGCAGGGTAGAGAACAAAAGTTTTATGGTTATTTAAATGATCTGGTTTACTAATACTTCCGAATGCCAAACGCTCTTTAGATTAAAAAGTGAAGTCTATCAGCTTAAGTTTGATGAGTTTCAGTCCATTATTTTGTAGAAAAAATGTCTAAACACGTTTTAAATGTACTATGTGTTTTTTTTTACATTGCATTATTAGTTAACTCAAATGTAGAAATCTAAAAATAGATTTTTTTTGCAACAAAATCTAACTTTTTGATGAAAATATTAAAATTTTAAACTTTATAAATGTAAACAGATGTTAGAAATTTTTCTTTTGTGAAAAATACTTTTACAACTTGTATTTAAGATTTAATCTTTCTCGTTTTTGAAAATGTAACGCATTAAGACTAAATTCATTTTTTAAATTTTACGTAGCTAAATCTAGATTTCTGGATCATAGTTCCAAAGGTTATTCTGTTAAAATGTCGCATGGTTTTTTGTAGTTTTGCTTTAAATTAATTTAACTGTTCTTTATTGCCAAAAATTATGTTAAATTTATGTCATAGTTCCAAAGGTTATTTTGTTAAAATGTCGCATGCTTTTTTGTAGTTTTACTTTAAATTAGTTTAACTGTTCCTTATTGCCAAAAATTATGTTAAATTTATGTTATAGTTCCAAAGGTTATTCTGTTAAAATGTCGCATGCTTTTTTGTAGTTTTGTAGTAGCTAAAAGTGTATGGATCTATGTTCATTTATTGTCATAACAAGTGATTATTTTGTCGGACGAGAAAGTGCTAATAATAAACAGAAACTGCTAGATATTCGTTTTAGAAAATTAAATAATTTAAATTTCTAGTATGCTTTTAAGATCTGATAAAAATCACCAAAAACTCAATGTAAATCTTGCATTTATTGTCCTTTTTAGAATAATTTAATGGATTCATTTTGTACTGTTATTGAACTATGAAGTTGCCTTATAGTTTGCTAATCATAATTTATGTTTCAGACAATGGCTAAAATAAGCAGCTTCCGGCAGTTCCTCATACTGCTTTACAAAGGAGCTCTTCTACGTAAGCGACATTATATCGTCACTTTTTTCGAAATCGTCATTCCTGTGTTCATCGCAAGCATATTTCCAATGATACAATCCGAACAGAAAGCTGCGTATATATTTACAGGGTCTGATAGATTCAAAAAATCAGGAGACTGGGAAGAGGGCAGAACTTACAGTCCTTATTCTCCTTTCGAATTTCCTGGCTTCTATGACATTTACTTCGTGTATACTCCAGCAGATAATGTGACGAAAGATTTTGTGGAAAGAGCTGTAAAAAAATACAATGAAAGTAATCCTAAACATTACACAAGGAAATGGGGTAAGTTTAAACGAGTCGTTAGTGTACACTGTTAGAAATTTCTTGGAAAAATGGTTAAATAACAATCGATTCAATTGTTATTTTACCATATTTAAACAAAACAGTCAAATAACCATAAATAAAACAGTATTCAAACAGCTTATTAATTGCTTTTCCCCAATACGGTTTAACAACCAGAATTTTATCGTGCCAAATAGACCCACCTAATGAAACCACTTAGTTCCTTGCAGCTGGGTGTATATTAAAGCCTGGAAAGCTAATCTGCCACTCTTATGACCCACAGAACGGGGGTTCAACTTCCTGCGTTGACACCACAATTTATTCTCCATTCCCTTCTGCACATGACGAGTTTCCAATGTTCTGCTCACCCTAATTTGTGACACTGGACTAATAAAGTGCATACTCTCATTCACGCATAAATGGCAACAAAATAAAGCTGCCTAAGACAAAAAAGTCTAGTATTTCCCATCTCTTATGATAGATGAAACAACCAGATATATTAATTAAACTACTTTCCCCAGTTCATTTGATGAAACACAACTCAACCACAACCTAATTTTAATAGCTATTTTCCAACGAAAAGCCTAGCTCCAATGTTCAGTTAAATTACTTCTTTACTGTTTTGAAACCATGCTAGTTGTAAATGGTTAAAACCTTATATTTCGTATTAATGTTTTTTTTTCCATACTTATTGTAAACGGTTTCAAAACTGTAAAGGTTAAAAAGTTCTCTATTGTAAACTTTATGGTTAAATGGAAAGACAGACTGCTGCCGGTTATTTTACCTTCATTTTAAAATGAAAATTGCAATAGTGTATGCTCTCAAGCTAAAGTAAAGATAACTCACTGTTTTCATTTAAATATGATTATGGTTTTAAATGATAAAATTCATTATATTCATGCGTTAATAACACAAGGAAATAGATAAAGAGGATCCGCTTGAATATATAAAGAGCTTCCGCTGCGAGCATATAATAGGAGACTTTTTTTCCTAATAATTGTAATACTAGTCCAAACGATCTTAACTCCACGCTACGGTAAAAAAGCTTAACTGCTAACTTGATTGATGAGCCTATCGTTTTCAATTAGTATTTTCAATTCAATTAATGAAGATTTCGGAGGTATAGTGAAGTTCGTTTGGCTATTTGCTTTATTTTAGTTCTATGAAATGCTTAGATGATAAGTCTTTAAAGATGTCTGGTGTTCATGATGACAAAAGTGCATTTTGTAAAATAAATTGCGATTTTATTTTAAATATTTTAATTTATCTGGATTTTTTTGTACTTAAATTTATTATTTCATAAAATATATGTATTTATGCTAATAACACCCAACATTACTCTTTTTGAATTACAGAATAAATTTAAAAAAGCGTTTGTCATGTAGACTTTTTCTTTTCTCTGAATTTACTATATGACAGAATTAAATTAACACGAGTAAATAAAAATATAACAGAAGCACTTTTTACGTACAATAAAACTGAAATCAATACTTGCAATAAACTAAATTGGGATAGAAGGTTTAGAATTCTATGGGAAATATTTTTCTAACCTAAATGAATGCTCAATATGAAAAGATTTCGGAACACTTACATAATTCGCTCATTATTTAATAATTTATTAAAGCTACATTTAATACTTTTTATCAGAGCGAAGCAAGAAAAACATAATTTTAAAACTAATAACTCAGTAAAAAGTAGCTCTCAGAGAAGTGTTTAATTCCTTCGTGTTATAACTATTATCCTCATTCATGATACAATAGTACGGAAATAAACAAAATTATAACAGAGGCACTTTTTAGTTTAGCTAGAGGGCGCTGGAAACGTTGCGCTAGGAAAAACTTTGTAAAAAATAGTCGCGAATCAACATCTGGGTGGAATTTCTTTAAGAATTATATCGTGGTTAATAATGAAACACATTTAATACTAAGATATAGCTCTGAATGAATATTGAAATTACATTATTTAATTACATTATTAAAACGTAGAACAGACGGTTCATAACAAACTGTTCTCTTTTAACTTGACGCTTCTCTTCAACATCAGCTGCTAAAAAGGAGCCATTTTAGCACTTGATCCTATAAATGCTTTAAAAATTTGTCGATTTTTTTTCAGATTGGTTTCAGGAATTTTTATCATTGGTTTTAGTATTTGTTACGACTCTATCAGCAAGAGCAATAATCTGTCGCTCTCTGAAAACTACCACTTAACTAAAATAACATTATTCTGACTCCATTTTTACAAAAAACATGACACTTTTGTTTACACAAAAATTTTGTTCTATATTATCCCCATAGCAATCGATGATACAGCTTACATACACTCAAATAGCAAATAAATAAAATCTAGTACTTTTAACAGTATTAGCCATTGTTATAAACTGCAATTGTTATAAACTACTAAACTTAAAATATTTAAAAGATAATGCTTGTAATGTTTGCTAGCGTAAAAGCTCCATTATAAACTCCTGTTTGTGAAAATTGCAACACCATGAAGGAATCGTCATAATTGAATGAAATTTAATACACAGTTGAGTGGTAGTGGTACAAATAAATGATTAAACTTTCAAGGCAAACAAACAATAACAAGAGATCAAAATCAGTATTTTATGTAGCCACCACGCTCCGCCATAAGTGTTACTACACGACGTGGCATGGAGTCAAGCAAACTTTGAATGTCTGTCTGAGGAGGAGAATTCCATACTGTTTGCATGTGTACCCAAAGTTCGTCTGTAGAAGCAACAGAGCGAGGATTACGAGCGAGACGCCGACCAACGAAATCCCACACATGTTCAATCGGTGACATATCCGGGGAATACGCCGGCCAAGGAAGAAGTTGTACCTGTCGCGATGCAAGGAAGGATTGAACAGTCCTAACAATATGAGGGCGGGCATTGTACTGTTGAAATACAGCACCTGGCAAGGCTTGAAGGAAGAGAACAGCTTGGGGCTGTAGAACTTCACTGATGTACCGGTTGCTGTTCAGATTACCCACAATTCGTAGCAATTGAGATCGTCCATGATATGCTATGGCACCCCAGACCATAACTCCGGGTGTTCGTCCACTGTGGCGTTCGATAACGCACTCCGGAAGATGGCATTCACCGGCATAGCGTCTGACACGAATGCGGCCATCATGGTACCTCAAATTGAAGCGAGATTCATCAGAAAACACGACACGCTGCCAATCAGCACGCCAGTCCCTATGCTGGTTGTCCTATTGCAGCCGCAGGCGGCGAAGGTTTAGCGTGAGGGGATCCTGTATAAAGGAGTCCTTGCGCGCAGTCCACGCTGCAGCAGACGTCTACGAATTGATAAAGCACACAATGAAACACCTGTAGCTATTGGCCACCGTGCTGCTAGTTGTCTAGAGGGAGCCGTACGGTCCGTTAGCGCAACGCCGAACAAGTGTCTATCATCACGAGCTGACGTGACATTTCGGGGTCCACTCCCAGATTTCCGAGTTGTCCGACACTCGTCCTTCCACTGCTTTCAAACACGCATCACTGTGCTGCTGTTACGCTGCACACGAGGGGCTACTGTACGATAAGATAATCCAGCTTCACGAAGGCCGATGATTCTCCCCTGTTTAAACCCCGTAAGTTGTTGAAATCTCGCTCTCTTTCGTCCAATAGGCATAAGTAATGACTAAGCTAACGTTTACCACTAGCAGATAACCATACTAGCTTTGCTACAACCGTCTATTTATTCGGATCCATCCGCCGTTCAGAGGGCGCTGCTCAGCATACGCATGCGCTACGGGTCTGAAATTCTAATCATTTGCATATCATGCTCTACTTAAGATTTCCTGAAAATTTCAGCTCACTCGCGTAAGTCCTTCATGGTGTTGCAATTTTCACAAACATGAGTTTAAATAAAGATGTTAATTGTACTCTCCTTATTATCAAATTTTTTATTTAATTTCTTTATTATCCAATTTTAATTATTTCTTTAAGAGTTCAGTGATTGACGCAGATGGTAAATGAGGGATGCATCTGCAACTTAGTATTTTTAAAGTCTTCTAACCATAAAACTGAACTTAATAATTTAAAATGAACGGTAATTGAAATAAAGAAAAATAAGATTTGCACCAGGAAGTAAGTTTAACGGAGGAACCGTAATATAATTGCCATATTATTATTGACATTAATCATGATTAATTAATTTTTATAATTAATTCCTGCCATTATGTGAGGCTTTTGATAAGTACCAAATATATTAACATAGGAACTGCTGCAGGTACTGCTGTAGGTATTATGGTAATAGTTTTTTTTTCTTCCGATGATGTTACCAAAAGTATTTCGTAAGTGACATCAAAAGTGTTTATGAACTTATAAACACAAATGTTTGTGTTTATGAAATCTTCTTTTCAAATTCTGAATTTTCTTTTGAAATTCTAGTAACTCAAGGTGTTGATAGCGAAGAAGAACTACAGAAATATTGCCTTAATCTGCTACTTGGTAAAAACAGTGTGAATATTCTAGGAACAGTTTTCAACAGCTTTCATCCATCTCAAAAAGAATTACCTTTATCACTAGACTACAAAATTAGATATGCCGATTATGGTAATTGGAGTAGGATTGAAACATCAAAGAAGTACCGAGCTCTTCATTATAATCGTTCACACCAAGAAAGTAAGTTTCTTCTTGTCATTTTATGTAAGGAACAATATTTTATTGTCATTAACTGTCGATTAGGAAGGTATATTTTTAAAAGTCTTTCGTTTTGTACCAAACAGAGTGCATTAATTTTTTTTTTACCGTTTTACCCATTGGCAAAATGGGTGTTGTTTGATGGAGTGCACTCCTTATTTGGACCTCATCACACTTTTCAACTGTGTTTAAAAGTAATAGTAAACAGTCCGCATGCGTCGTTATTGCTTGCGTGACAGCTGCTGCTTGATAATTTTTTTGAATTCATTTTTCATTTTTAATTTTGCTATGCATTAAGTTGGTGAGTTTATTTTTGAGATATGGGACCAGAGAGATCCCATAAGTACTTCTTCAGTTGTGAATAAAAGAGAATTTAATCATTTGGACGATATTTTTGTTTTTATTGTTTTAATTAAGAATCAGAGATTCTAATCTACAGTTTAAGCTGGAAAAAATAGACAGCAGCCATTTTGCCAATGGGCAACCTGTGATCACATTTTTGTCTAAAGTTGTAACAGTTAAACAAGAGACAAAAAAATTTAGTTTTTTTTCCTATAGTACATTATAAAAAGCATTGAATTTTTAATCTAATGATTGATCTTTTACATAGGTTCTGGGGACATTCTGAATTCTGATTAATTAGTAAAGATTATTATTAACTTTATTGCTCATTAACGTTATTGGCACCTCTCAAAAGGTGAGCAAGTTAAAAGGAGCTAATTTTGAATTCCATTATATGCACAAAACACTCACTACTTTTCTACGTAAATAGAATTCACATTATTAAAACCTTTTCATTGAATTCCTAGACATCAGATAATCTTATGCAGTAAATTTAGTGGAAAAACTGTCGGAGTTGTGTGCGTTACAGGATTTGGACAATTCTATAGTTCACGGGAAAGAAAGTAGCATCTTCTCCCTGAAATATTTAATAAAAATATGAATAAATACTTAGATGCTTTAAAAAAAAAGCAATTTTAAGAATGGATATGTAAGTTAAAATAAATTTACTTTATTTTTTTATTTTCCGTAAAAATGATAGTGCGGTTTTGTACATTTCGCCTTTAGTCATGTATCAAAACACTAAAAAAAATTCTAAAAAAACTTTTGCTCCATAAAATATAACTTATATATTGCTATGACTGCCATTTGTTAAGAATATTATCAAGTTACATTAATCTTGATATTATCTTAAACTACTTATTTATTAGCAAAACTGTCAGCTTTGTATGTCTTATAAGATTTGAGATATTCTATAGCTCACGTGAAAGAAAATAGCATTTTGTTCTAGAAAAAATATCATAAAAAAAATGAAAATACTTAAAATATTTAAAAAAAACTATTTTAGGAATGGGTAAACAAGTTTAAAGAATTTACTTTCTTTACAATTAAAAAATTTAACAAAACAATTTAAAGAATGTATTAAGAATTATTTTACAAAAACAATTTAAAGAATGTACTTACATGTTAAATTTTGTCTATAGCTCATATACATGATGTAAAAAAGCTTGAAAACGGTCAAATATCTTGATAAATGTACATCGGAAAAGTGAAATTAGACGCATTCAATATTTTTTAAAAGCTATCTAATGATACCAAACTCGATCTTTCACCCCCGCAACTGGTGGTGGGGTGAGGAGCTACTTATAAATCTTAAATATGCATCTTTTATTGCAGATTCATTTTTTATTTGCAGATTTTTATTGCAGATGCTGTTTTTTATTGCAGATTTAGGTTCTCCAGAAAAAAGTAACCCTATTTGAGTTATAGAGTTTATGCATTTTGTTTTACTGATATCGATATGACCGAGATAATTAATTTTGGGCACAAACTGTTTAAAATGGTGGTATTTCGAGACGCATCAGATTGAAAAAAAAAAGAATTAAAAAATTTCGGTGTTTTTTGTGAAAAACAAAATGGAAAAATCAAATTTTGTTTTCAAACGCATCTATTTTTATGTTTTTAAATCTGATGGGTTTCGCAATACGTATTTTATTCAATTTTATTCAATTTACAGCTCTGCATCTCCTTGTATTTTATTCAATTTAAAGCTCTGTTGCGAAGCAAAGTGCACAAGCCTACAACTCAAATAGGGGTTCATATTTAAGATTTAAAAGTTGCCTCTCCTCGCCTGGGAAAAGTCGAGTTTAGTATCATTGGATAACTTTTAAAAAATATTGAATTATGACTATTTTCTTATTTTCGATCCGATGTATATTTCTTGAGATATTTGACCGTATCCAAACTTTCTTACACCATGTATAGAGAAAATTAAATTACATTATAATCAATGTTTTCTTAGATTTTATTTAGATTATAAATTACCTACTTTATGTACAGATGAAATTTACTGATATCTTTATTATTGTACTACACCAACAGCATCAAATAAATACATCCGTACTAATGAAAATTTTTATAATTTTTACAGATTATAAAGATACTACTTTCCTTACATGGCAAGCATCTGTTGAAGAAACTTTTATCGATTCAAAAATGGATCCAAATAATCCGATAGATTATAAGGTTTGTTAAAAATAAAAATATAAGACGTTCTTATATAATAAAAATCATTTAAAGTTAAAAATAAACAAAATATATAAATTAACAGTAAACTAAACATGCAAGTTAACAATAAACTAAACAATTAACTAAACAATATAGGTAATCTTGAATTCTTTAATATGAGATCCAAGTAGCTGCAAAACCAATTGCAAATAAAGAGGAAATAATTTTTAACCACTCATCTCTTAATTTGTTAGTCATTGATGTTTTTTTTTATTGGCTGTTCTAAAAATGTTTATAATCTAGCAAATAAGATTATATAATACAGTTTTAGAAAAGCTCAGAATTTTAGATCAGCTCACAAAAGTTGCTTTTTTGACATAAATTTGACTCAAATTATTTCTAAGTATATATATATTTAAAAAAAATTTTATCAGTGTCAGGACGAATTAAGCATTACTCATCGGATGTAACCAATTTTATACTCGGAAGACTCTTTTTTTCTGGGCAGAAACTTTTTTCCAGAATACACAAAAGAAAGCGTTAAGTTTGTGTGAAAAGCTTATACTATGAAATACTTACATATGCAATAGGAAATAGAATTCACTTTCAAATTTTTTAGATGAGTGTTTATTTAATCACCTTCTTGGTTTAAAACACTGTGATTCCCATATAAGCAGTAAATTTTCCAGTGTATTGTTCAAGTGAATTGTTCCAGTGTATCCGAAAGCGTATAAAGTGTCAATTTGGAAACGATTCTAAGGTTAGGTTTGTTTTAAAAATTCCAAGTTTGTAAAAAGTGGAACTTATTAATTATATTGTCTAAATAATAATGAGAGTGTCTAAAGAGATTAATTATATTGTCTAAAGAGTAATGAGAGGGTCTAAAGAGATTAATTATGTTGTCGAAAGAGTAATGAGAGTGTCTAAGGAGATTAATTATATTGTCTAAAGAGTAATGAGAGTGTCTAAAGAGATTAATTATGTTGTTTAATTTTAAAATTGATCAGTACTGTGTGGGTTAATAATGTTTAAATCTTTGACGTAGATTGTACATTGGTGTCCCTTTTATATATATTTTTTTCTGACGCCATAATTACAAGCAAAATTATATAAAAACAATTCAATAGTTACTGAAAAATATGTTAGATTTTCGGAATTACGTTTGTACTAAAATATAAAATTCAAAAAAAAAAGTTTGAAAATTTTTTTTATTTATTCATATTCAAAAATTTGACAATAATTGATTTTGTATATTGAAGAAATTTTAAAGATGAATAACTGCTTCTTTTAGATCTAAATAACTGCAAATAAGTAAACATTTGATAAATTGCTATTTGGAAGTGAGCCGTGTTTGGAAAACTTTATCTTTACGAAAAAAAAGAAAGGATGTTTCATGCTGTTTTCTACAACCATAAATTATTAAAATGCTAAATATAACATTTTTCACTTATTTTGAGATAAACGAATACAAAATAATGAAAGAAGTATAAAAAATATGCTTCAAAAAATTCTGTGTTATAGGTTTTAAGGTTACTCATTTTATCTTTATAATTTTGCCTACTTGTCAATTTCCATCCAATGATATAAAACTACTTATTCTTAATTGTCTAATTTACTTAATGTATCACAAACGCTTAATTACTGTCCATATTTTAGTTATAATTTAAATCTCTTTAGGTGAGGTTGCAAAGATTTCCCATTCCAGATCACAGAAAAGCTTCATCTGGCCTAGATATTGTACCTATGCTTATTAACTATGGATACTTTGTTTTTATGTTAAATCTGATAAGAAGAGTCATAGAGGAAAAGTCCAACGGTTCGAAAGTAAGTAGAGTCTATTTGCACCAGAAATGTTTTATTAATCATTATTTTTTTTGTAAATCACCACCCTCAATGTATATTTTTAGAATCCTTGTTAAAAATAAAATTCTTAAGAGTTTGAACAGTTAGGATTGCTAATCAATATTAAGCACGTAAAAGAAACAATAAAATTCTGACGAACAACTAGTGAGGAAGGCAAAGTTATAGAATCAAGAAAAAAAATTTTAGGAATGCAAAGCACCGTGTACAGTTATAAAAAACCATGCATAAATATGAATAATAACTTTTGATCTAATGATTGGATTTTGATCTAATAATTGAATTTCGATTTAATGATTCGATTTTTTTGGATTTTTTAGCGGGTGATTTTACTTATGTTAATTAATTAGTGCAGAAAATATTAAGTTACGAAATCAGACACAAAAACGTATTTTCTCTGAGTAAACATACCCTTTTTTTCAACGGATTCGGATTTCTGACACCCAAAATTTAGGGGGTAGCCGCAATCTGATAAATATGGTTTCAATAGCTTGGTCAGTTGAGCGGTTCAAAGTATACTGCCTTAATAATAATTTTACTAACTAACTTTATAATAATGAACTTCCTTAATAATAATTAACTTCCTTAATAATAATTTACTCCTTAATAATAACTTTTCTTTTTGCGTATTTCGCCATATCTCTGGACTTTTTTTTAAGAGAATTAAAAGCGAATTAAAACATTCTTTTACCCACTTATAAAATTTATTTATCCAAAGTTAATTTCAGATTCAAAATAAATTTTAGGAAATATTCATTATTTTTTACTATTTTCTTTAATAATAATCGAAAATTTTTTGAATAGTAAGGTACACAATTTTCTACACCATTTTATTGTAATTTCAATTTTACATGGCGAATACAAAATAATTTTTTTTTACATGGCCATTGTAATTTTACATGGCGAAATACAAAATATAAGCGAAATTGGTTGAAAAGTTTCTGAGATACCGAATTTCAAAAAAGGTATTATTTTTAAAATTAAGGCAGTATGAACCTTAAATACTTCCTATTATATTTCCCAATTGGTATCCAAATTTCCAGTAAGTTTGCAAGCTAATTTTAAAATTTCTCGGATGGTGCCTTATCGTATTTCAGCATTTCCATTATGATGCCAAAGCAAGATTCAATATTTATAGTATACCGTGTTATTGTATACCGTGTTTTAAATTACCTATACGTTTACATTGATTTTGGAATCATTTCTATTGGTTCTAATATCACTTTGATGTTTGTATTTTGAGCTTTTTTCCTCAGAGCTATATTCTTTAACAGCCAATATAGTATTTGCAGCTTAAAGTGAAGATCTTTTTAAGGGAAAGTATTCTTACGTTTGCTGGACTTCTTTCTTGATGAAAGGAGTTTGTTTAAAAGCCAGTTCTACAAATTTTACTGAAGTTCGTTACAATTTCGAAAACTGGGCTCTTTTCTTGAAGACGAGTGACGCCCGTTCAAATCTAGTTCTTAATTTTACAAAAATTTCTTGGAGTGAAAAAAGTGTAATTTCTCTGGCTTAATTTTTAAGAAAAAGGAGAGAGAATTGTAAAGGTTGCCCACATTAAAAATGGACACATATAATAGTGACCGAAATATATTAGCAATAGCAAATTCACCGCTCAAGGTTATTAAGGAAGTTAAAGAGTGTTTCTACATCTATTGAGTATAACTGATTAATCAGTTCACGTGAGGATTATGATGAACGTTAAGTAGTCTTAGAGGGTTTGTCCAACTCAGAATAGATCAATTCGAAATTAGATTTTAAGTGGCAGAAGGTGAATGCACCGTTTTTTTTACTCGGACTAATTTACTAATTTACCCAGACACACTTGTCGTATTTCTTATGGAGCACTCTCACTGCATGCAATTCACACCTGCGATCATGCATTAATGATATTCATACATGCACGAGCCGTTAATATAGCATGTAGTTTCTAAACAATCAGACTCACGTCTGGGGTAATCAAATGCAGTGTGAATCGCTCTCACGATTATCTTTAATTATTTCATTAACAACAGTTGTTGTAGTTCATTTACGTCGCACTGGAGCTACACAATAGGCTATTGGCGACGATCTAGGAAACATCCCTGAGGATGATCGGAAGACATACCATCACAATTTTGGGTCTCTGCAGAAGGGATGTCACCTCCGCTTCGGTAGCCCAACGACCTGCACTCGAAGTTGAACACTTTACGGTAGAACAGTATAACGAGGACCAATACCGCACACCCTCGTACCCTACACAAACTGATCCAAGTGGTCACCCACCTGCACACTGACCGCAACCAGTGATGCTTGACTTCGGTGATCTTCTGGGAACCGTGTCTTAACGATCAGATGATATTGTTTAGTGTTTGGCGGATCTTGTACTGATGCGCGGCTGTACACGAAAATGTTTCCATAATTTGTTCACAGCTGCTTTTCCTGGATAATGTGTGCCATAAACAGAATCAATTTGACCATAACTGTTTGCGCTATCCTCACCTTCTGCCAATCGAAGTCGTACTATTGTACATTGTTCTGCTTCAGATGCATCTATCTTAGCATGGCTTTGAATTCCTTTTACTCATTCTACGTTGACTGATTGATCACTCATATTTAATTTTTCTGCGTACTTCAAATTACAGTTACTTAAAACTTGATGGATGGTGCTGCTTTCGCTACTATCTATTAAACCTTCTAATGCATATCTACATTTCACTTCGGAAAATCTAACATTTATTAATTTTATTGTGTTACTTTTTCAGGAACTTATGAAGATGATGGGAATGACAAACACAGTGTATTGGATAAGCACATTTTTAAACTATTTTATAGTGGGTCTACTGACAGTCTTAAGCATCTCCATAATTTATAAGTCTCCATTGAAAACTGGATTCGTCTTTTTAGCCAACACAGATTTTTTTCTCATATTTCTGATACTCCTGCTGTATATAATCAGTGCGATACTTTTTTGCATGACATTCACAATATTCTTCAATCGAGGTATAAAACGTTTATTTTCTTGATATAAAATTTGTTTTACAAGATCCGCAGTTTTTAAGATATTTTTAAACTTAGTGTGGCATAAGTTTGGTTGTAACAAATGTAACCATGAAAAAGCATTATATACAGAATATATTTTTCTTCTTCATGTATTGGGTAATCATGTGCTTTCATTAATGGTAATCATGGGTTTTTCTTTTCTTTTTGATACTGACAAACATTTAAAGAAAAACATTTTCGTAGAAAAATGTATAGTGAACGTTTGCTTATAAATATTTTATACATAGCTCTCTTATGTCTTTCAAATATGTACAACTTCTTTTCAATCTTTAAAAATGTTACACCAATTTTTATTATTAATTAATTAACACTAATTAATTAATATTAATTAAATAATATTAATTAATTAATATTAATTAAATTATATTGATTAATTAATATTAATTAATTAATATTAATTAATTAATATTAGTTAAAAAATATTAATTAATTAATATTAATTATCTAATGTTAATAATAAATATTTTACTTATTTTAAAGCAATATTTTTCTTAAAATTGAAAGTTTTTCTGTGCTTAAAATGATTATTTTCCTGTTAATGAGGTCTTATGATAATGATTTTTTCTTCTTCTAATTTTAGCTGTCTTCGCAATCATAGCATTTATAATCTTATGGGATACATCATTTAATTTATTAATGCAAAAGTATTTCTTGATGAATATACAAACAAATTACTTTGATTTGTCTCTGTCTGCTAAACTGGCGATGTGCTTGCTTCCAACTGGCAGTTTATTAACTGTGTTTGGCATGATATCTGTACAGAAACAATGGGGTAAGACTAAATTTTTTTCTTTAAAATATTGTGTAACACATTTCTATGTATTCTTAATAAAATTTACTAATACTCATTATCATAAGTACTAGTGCTATATCATAAATAACAGTGATACGGATTTTTCTATATAAGTTTGTTCAAAGAGGTTGAAACGAGTTTAAGACTCGCGATTGGTTGTGATGCAAAGCAAATGTTTAACCATCCAATTGTTATGCATCATCATATCTATACAATGCTGTTTATATATTTACGTGGTCTTGTTGTGTTTTTAATGTACAGGCCTCCTAATGTTAGGTTAATGTATAGCCCATCAATAAACTGAACAACCTAATAGAAAGAAAATAAAGAAGTTACCCAAGCAATAGCAGCCAAAATAAATAAGCTTCAAACTAAAGCTTGTAATAGAGCCGTGGTGGCTAAGGAGATGGAGCGTTTGCCTCCCAATGAGGTGAACCAGGTTCGAATCCCAGCCATGGCTGGTTGATGCGTATTCCGTACCCGGTTCGCACTGACAACAATGCTGACGTAACAATGCTGACAGTGGTAGATGGATCATCCGTTAGAGTCTCTTTTGCAGTCAGGTTAACCATGTGAGATTTTCTTGGTTTTCCTCTCCATGTAACGGAAAAGCTGGTTAGTTCCACCATAAAGTCCCTTACGAAGGAAAATTTCACCCTATACTTGATTTAGGAGTTTCCTTGTATTCTGAATTGCTTTCAAAATTACAAGGAGTCAGAATTGAACATTTGTAGTTGTAAACTCAAAAATATTGTCATCTGTTCAACGACGGTTATAAAATAAAATAAAACTAGCAATAATAATTAAAAAAACTGGAACACCTTGAATATTTTGATCTAATAATTCAATTTTCTCTTACAAGAACTCAATCTTAATAAATTAAAGTGATGACTTAATCCATACTAATTAATTAGTGCAGACAATATTTTAAGTCACGAACCTGACACAATGAACCTTTTCTGAATAAACATATGTTTTTTTCAACTTATATGGCTTCCTATACATCAAAATATAGGAGATAGCCGCAATAAGGGAAATATGGTCTCATTAGTTTCGTCAGGAGGATCCCTTAATGTTAGTTTTTCTTCTTGCTTATTTAGGCACATCTCGAGAACTTTTTAAGTAAACCGAAGCTTTTTTTATACACAATCATGAAATACAATAGTAGTTTTTAATAATTATTTGTTATTATCCTATTTGAGATCACCTCTTTAAACTATTAAGTTCGAATTCTTGTAGGTGAAAGTTCGATTCTTGAAATCAAAAGTTAATCAGAGTGTTCCGTTTTTTTCCCTCAGCGCACTGTACAAGATGTTCAGCAATAAGCTTAACAACTTCTCAACTTTCGTACATGGAAGAATACATAATATTTAATTAAAATAATTTGGAAATACCATAAGAATCGGTTAAAAGTGCCACCCTAGGGAATAAATTTATATCTCTCGATTGGTGTGGTAGATTACAAACTCGTAGAACATACTCTATTTTGTAAGAAAATACAACAAACGCACATTGATACGAATAATACGTCGTTACATGGGTTGTTTCGAAGCGTGGAAAGTTCTGTTTGTAGATTTTATTCGAAAGGGTACAGCTTTTCTTTTTTTGTGCTTCGTAAAATCACAATTTTCACATTGATATACGCAAGGTAATTGACATTTAATATTAAATCAAACATTCTATATTACTTTTTAACTTACTATTTTCTCGCATACACAAAATCTAGCGAGCGCAGAAATTTAGTTTTTGTTTAATTTATTATACCATTTGCGCGATATAAACCAAACTCTCAACTTTAGCTGTTCTACATTACTCTGTCAACAGTTTTATAGAGCAGGTAAACCCTCTTATTTTGTTTAACAGACATATCTAACCTTTTCATGATTACAGTTGTATCCTAACTAACGCTATGTCAATATATATAAACAAAATTTGCACGCGAATGAGAACCTAATATACAACCGGAACTGTTAACTGTCTCGTTGTCAATATAAATCTGCCCCTTCTTAAAAGGGGTACAACCGGTTCAAGTTACATATTGAACTCTGCTTTGTGTATTTTTGAGGAAGGGAGAAACCTCTTCGCACGTTTTAAAACCGGTTTTTTTTTAATATTCAGAACAAATATGAGGTAAATATTTACGTTTTGGTTTTTAGCTGAGCTAACAATTAACTTAGCTACGTCACAAACATAAAAGTTTACTACTGTTTGCCTAATATAGGTACTCTTCCGGCCCCAAAGTCTGCGACAGTCTAGTACTATGGAAACAAGAAGAGGGCATTTTTAGGGAAGGTAGCTTCGATGAAGAGGTCTCCTTTTCTCTCGCCGAAACCAGTCCTAAAGAGGGATCCCGCACCCCTACTTGAAATAATCATACCTTATTACCATAGTCACCGCCACAGCTCCAGACGAATGTCTGGAAGGACAAACAGTAGTAGTCTAATGGTAAATTTTTCACTGGGTGAAGATAGGTGAATATTTCACCAATTAGGTTCTTAAGCGCACATACTCATATAGTAAGAACAGTTCATTTCGAGGGTTATGAGACTTCTGCATCACGAGATTAGTACTTAGTGCCCAGCATGTCATTTCACGAGTTAAAAATTATAACTATGTGTTTTTGCACAAGTAATTCTGAATTTTTTGAAAGGAAGCATGTGAATTAATGATATAATTGATCATTTTTACTCAAGAAATATTCTTGAGAGGGCGAATACTGAGAAAAAATTTAACGTGGTACAGATGTGCCGAAATTGTTTATACAACCCATTAATTTATGCAATAAACTTTCTCCTAGCAATAATTAATTTTTTTTCGAATGTGGATCATATCTTTAAAAGAATATCTCTCAATCCTAAGAAAAACCAATTAAGAAGCATTTTGATGATTTTATAATAATTTATTTCAGATTTCTTTAGGTTTACTGCTAATTTGAATTTATTTCAGAGTTTCACGTTTTGGAGTGAATAATTTTTTAAATATAAATTTTAAAATCCAAAATACCTTCAGAATATAAAAATGTTTAATATCAGATTATATGAAATAAAAGAATTCTTTTAAAAACTTTTAGAAAATTGTTATTTATGAAGGTTTAATACTGAGTCTTAAATTTATCTAAAAACGATCGCAGAAAATAAATTCTTAATTATTTTAAACAAAATGGCTTTAAAATTTTACATTGAATTTTGCAATGATTGGATTTTTTCAACTGTTTTTTTATTAAATTTGTCTTTTCCTTGTTATTAAAATCTATTGCAAATCCACAAAGTTGGCTATTCAATGATTTCATTGAAGTACTTATTGAAATCATTGAAGTAAATTATTATTATTATTTTTTTTTACAGGGGATGGTTTTAGTTGGTCCAATATTACAGATTACGCAATCAGTCCTGATATAAATATGGCAATGGTTTTGGGAATGATGGTACTGTCGTGCTGTTTGTATTCTTTTATGCTTTGGTATTTTGACAAGGTTTGGCCATGGCAACCTGGTGTTCATCAGCCCTTTTATTTTATGTTTACAGTTAAGTGTAATATTTAGTTATAAACATTCTTGAGAAATATGAAGTTCCTTTATCTCAGAGAATCTAACGGCTTATTATTGTTATTAGAAAAGTTACTGGTGTGGTGTAAAACCTGAATTTGATGATTTAGACGCAATGAAAGGGAAAGATCAGGATGAAGAATATTTTGAAGAGGAGCCTACTGGAATTTCCCGGGGAGTGGAGATCAGAAATTTATCTAAGGTAAATACGATTAAATACGATACTAATTAAATACGATACTAATTAAACATATTGTTACATTTATACCGAACGTAAGGAATAAATTTATTATTTTATGCATTCTATTGTTATTTTTCCACAATTCTGTTTTTAAACATTTTATCCTTCTCATTTCGAATGTATTTCAATAATTTTGCAACTAAAATGACTTTAAGCGAATTCAGTGCTAGCTTCATGCATTTTGCATTGATGGTATAGTTGGAATTGTTATTTGAATAAAATGCATAACAAACAATTAGTCAATACCTATCGTAGATCATTCTTATTAAACACTTTACATCTAAAGTAATTTCTCTCGTGTATGAAATCAATTTGATGCTACAACGACTAGAATTTTTTTTAATTATTGTAATGTTAAGAATTTTTTTTATTTGTTCTTAATTAACATTTTTTCTTAAACATGAACATTTTTTTTAAATTGTTACCTATCTATCTATTTATTTATCTAAATAAATAAATAATCAAAGAATAAATATTTATGTTTTTCGTTCCCTAAAATACTCGTTTTAATGTTATGCTAATATCTTAACAATTTGTCAATCTATTGGTGAGATCTCCCTGATTTGCAAACTATCAGTACTCGACCAATCAGGGAGATATCCCAGTTTGGCAATAGTAAGTTATAGCAGTTAAAAAAATGTGTGGTTTCAAACTTATACTCTGACTCAACTCGTTCGGCTGGTAAAGTGATAATATTGTCACAAAAATAAGCAGTGTATAAGTACTAACAAATGTAGGTATAATGACTGTTGTTTTCAGTATAATGAAAAAAAAGTAGCGTAAATTCATGACAAATTCAAATGTAGTCAGTATATTATAAAAAATTATAGTTCTTCACATTATTATTCATTTTACTAAATTCAAATCTGCCGTCTAATATTATTTTGGCTTGTATCTCATTGAGGTGATGGAATTTCATTGTCTAGGATCTTCTTTGGCTCGTGACTTGATTTTCCCTTGCATTTTTGATTTCATTCGTTTTAAAATCTTTGGTCTCAGTGCTTTTTTTAACTTATCAAATAAATGAAGTCAATTGAAGATGATAGATCAACACTATCCAGGTGAGATGGATATTTTCAATTTACTGAAGTGTCAGCAAATGTTTTTGGACAAATTGGAAGCGTATAATCAAGTACTGTTTTACAACTGGAGGGAATATTGTAATTAGAAAAATTTATGTGCCAATGAGCTTGATTGAGCACAAGAAACTCATCGAAAAATACTTGAAGCATGGATTAATCTGCTGGGACCTCAGCCCCATATTTTCTTACATTTTAGATTTGCCGTTTCGTGACATCCAAGTTTTTTAGGGGTTAAAAAAATATCCGCTGGGTATAACAGTTGAAACAAGACAATAGTGTGTAGGACAGAATTCGACGATCGATTTGAGTTATGAACAAAGGAGTTTTACAAGCATGGCTAATGCAGCACTAATGGAATATTGCAGCATAAAAAGACTCCGGGCAATAGATCTGAGTTTTTAAAAAAAATCTTGTGAAAAATCACTTATCTCGTCATTTATTGAATATATTTAATATCAGCATCTATATAAAAATCGTATTTTATGTAAATTGCATCAACTGGTTTCTTAGGGATTTCAAGTGAACTTTCAGACGAAGATGGAAGTCAAAAATTTGTCTCTAAATATATACCAAGGACAAATAACAGCTTTACTGGGTCATAATGGGGCAGGAAAAACTACTACCATCAACATACTTACTGGTAAGATTGTTTATGAATTAATAAACACTTTATGTAACCTAAACTTAAAAATATTTTCACTTTTCAGTATGCTTGTCCCCATAGGTCTCCTTCAATCAGTTTAAGCCTAAATTTGAAAAAAAAAGAGCTTTTTTTGCCCTGAATAATGAAACAAATGATTTTTTTATAAATATTCTTTGAGAATAAATTTAAAAACAACAATATTCAACTTCTTAGATTGAATTGTGTGCATTATTAAGTAATATTCAACTACTAGATTCTAGAACTAGATTCAATTCTTTTTTGAGTGGTTATTTGAGTGATATGCACCGAAGAGCCATTACATTATGACTACCCTGCTAATAACATGTAGGACCACCTTTAGCCCTCAAAACTGCCGGCACCCGCCGTGGCATTGATTCCACAAGATGCTGATAGGTAGTCTGAGGTATCTGGTACCAAGCGCTCACCAATTGGTCCTGCAATTCCCTCACATTGCGAGGGGGTAGCCTGGCAGCACGAATTTGGTTTTCCAAGTAGGACCACAAATGCTCTATTGGATTAAGGTCAACTGAATTTGGGGGCCAAGACATGACTTGAAAGTCACTGGAATGTTCCTCGAACCAATCCATGACGATTCGACCCTTATGACATGGTGCATCATCCTGATGGTAAACGCCATCCCCCGCAGGAAAAACTGCTGCCATGAATGGGTGAACTATGTTCATGTAGCTTACAGACGTCAGGGATTGTTCTATGAGGATTATATGTCCTAATGTGCCCTATGAAAGCATTGTTCCTGGGCGAGAAACCATGAAAACCTGGGCGAGCCCATTGTTATAGATGGAGGGTGGTCATAATGTAATGGCTCTTCGGTGTATATATAAAAAAATTCTAAATTACATATTGTATCAATATTGTAACATATTGATGATTTTTTATTAGTTAAGTAAGTAAAACATGTTTTTTTTTCTTACGTGCCTCTTTCTACATTATCAGCAGAATACCGATTATACGACTCCCAAAGACATCGAAAAATTGAAATAGGATAATCAGGGGACCTTTTTAAATCGCTTTTGTAAGAGCGAAATTCTAATCTAATTCTTTTTCTAAACCTAGATCGAAATTACTCAAAACAATCAGTGAAAATAATAGATTTAAGAAAACCTTACTCGTGCTTTATTTTTTAGCATAAATACAATAAGGTATAAAATAAGAAAATAAATTATTGATACATTTCTTTTCGGAATTGTCGTCACAGTATCTGTTAATTGGATTAAACTGAGTTGAATGAGGGTTCTTATGGCACAAAATCTGAAGATGAAACAGTAATTGGATAACTTTAGCTGATATTAATGAAATGTGAATCGGAATGTGTTAAACATGCACCGAAAGAGGTGTCGAATATTCGATCGATTGGATGGTCTGTAGTCGAATATTCGAGGTTTTAGTGTAAATGATATTTCTTCAAAGTTGCTATTGTTTGTTAATCATAACAAAAGTTTGTGTTTACATAAATAAAAAAGAAACATTAATTTAAAATCAAACTTACAACAAATTTTAAATCTCTATGAATGATTTAAGTATTTTCCGCTCCCCCTTTTTATTCTTAAATTAAATGATTCGTAAATTTTTTTTTCTTTGTTCTGATTCGTACTGTATTTAGATTTCATGTTGAATTAATTCATGTATCCCATTTCGTGTATTTAATTAGTATTTTTTCATGTAATAAATAAAAGCTCAATTCGCATTTTTGTTTTAAAAATTAAAATGGATCATGTATCCAGGTTCATTTTTGGATTTTAATTAGATATTCCTAACTATTTATTCTTGTTTTAGGTCTTTATACCCCTTCTAGTGGTTCAGCATCAATTAACGGCGTGGATATTTTGTCTGATACTCATGGTGCTCGACGGGGGCTTGGTGTGTGCCCACAACACAATGTTTTATTTGACACTTTAACTGCAGAAGAACATTTAAAAATATTTGCTGGGGTAAATATTTAAGATAAAGCTTCATTTATGTTCATATTATTGAGTAAATAATAAATGAAATTAGCTTTTGTAATGAGTAGAATACACTAAAAAATATCTCTGGATAACTACAGTAAAAAATAATTCTGGATTTTCTCAGTATGTTTGACAGTTTGAAGATGTTTTGTTGACTAAATGGTTTTTCTCTTTGATAATTAACAGATTAAAACCACCAGTTCTAATTCTTGTTCTTACCCTGCAGTTTCGCTTACTGTCTGATAACTTTACCTTTTTTCAAATAATTTTTTTAATTATTTTCTATATTTGCTCTTCTCAGCCATTCTTTTATGGTTTTGAACCTGCAAATAAATAAATTAAACAATCAGATAACTGCAATCTTATTTCATTGTCAAATTGATATTATGACCTTATTATGTTTCTTTAGATACATTGAAAAAATTTTACGTTTGAATATGATTTCAATAAGTAAGGCGTTAAAAAAAAGTTTTTCTTCATAAAAAGCAATCAAGCTGCTTCGACTAAGGGGATAGAGCATACTCCTCCTATTGGTTTGGAGGGGTTCGAATCCCAGTTGTGACTGGTCGTACGAATTCTGCTCCCGAATAGCTCAGACCACAATGCTGGCGTAAAATATCCGTATTTAGTGCAAATACAGATTTATTTCATAACTTTCACAGAGCAAACTTGAGTGGTAAAAATCCGTTGAGACTACTATTTTCTTTTGGTACCTTTTGAGGAGGAAACTTGTTTTTGTATTTTTAAAAGCTCTTGCTACTATAGATTTATTTTGTAACTTTCGAAGGAAACTTTTTTCATGTATGAGTAAGAACTCTTTGAGGTTACGGATTTACTTCGTAAGTCTTACAGTTCGCACATCCAGTCCAACTGCTGGTCTGAAATCACAAATTTTAGGAGATTCCTTTTTTTTCTTCACAGTGTATGGATTTTCGTCACCCTCTTTTACTCTCTTCAGTTGAATTGATTGATGAATTGATTTGAGAAACTTTTTATTTTTATTTTTATAATACTTTAAATGTTTATTTTTAAAATTTGATAAAAACTATAGTAGCAGGAATGCTTTATTATCGCAGAGCCCAACATGTATATTGGTACCGGTGGTTTTCTCAAACTAGTTTTAACTGTATTATCGAATTGTTTATAAGAGTGAAATAGTTTCTTTTTATTTTCGTATCATATGCTTAGATTCCGGGTAGTTAAGGTATGATATGTGAAATTTTCCTGGACAGGCAAATAAAAATCAAGTTGTGATATTTCTTGAAATATTTAACCTTATGTAGATATTATAACATATTATTAGATGTTACGTAGATGCGTAACTTATGTTGTTTTCAATTATGAGCAATTCTTCCACACCAAATCTATTTTAAGTGTTCTTCCGTAGCTTTTTGGAGATTCATCTATTTATTCAGAATCCCCATTAAATCTCAAAATTCTTGGTAATAAGGTAACATTTTTGAACGATGAGAAAAATGTGAACTTATAAAACTCCGCTAGACTTAATTTCTAAAAATATAGGTGGTAATAAGGAAGAAAAAGTTTTATATTTCAGACAAGTGTAGTCAAAATTAATTTAATTGTTTAAAAAGCTGCTATGCTAGTTTTAACATCTTATCCGAGAAAAATCATCAAAATTAAAAAATTTCGGCTAGATAAATAATTAATTTCATTCTTATTTTGAAAATTCTAGATTTTCGAAAGATGCAAATTACCTAATTAAATTTTATGTGAAAAAACATTCACTGTTATTTGATCGAATTTAGTTACATTTTTACTTGTTTTTTTTTTAATGAAAATTAAAACTATTCCAATCTATTTGTCTAGTTAAAAGGGGTGCCATGGAGAAATCTTGAGTCTGAATCACTTAAAGTCTTGGAAATTTTGAAGTTTACCGAGAAAAGATATGAGTTGGTGAAAAATCTCTCAGGTGGAATGAAAAGAAAATTAAGTCTTGGAAATGCAATTGTTGGTGGTTCAAATGTAAGTTTTATTCAATTTGTAAGACAATGATAACTGAGACTTAATTAAATTGAAATTGCACAAGCATCAAAATATTGTTCGTAAAATAGATAAGAAATTTTGTAGATGTTTTTCATTAACAGCATACATTCGAGCAAATTTTCCTTTTCATTAGTAACTATAATAATAAACCTACAAAGCATGCCAAATTTCAACACTGCAGTTACATTCCTACGGCCTTCACAGCAATCCACATGTTCTATAAGCTTATCATTTAATTATTTTGAACTGATTATGAACTGCTAACATTTTTAGTACATTGTACGCTCTGTACATTTATCTACATACCTAAGAAGTTCCAAGCTTTTCGCCTTATTGTTTTTAATTATTAAAATAAAATGTAACGTTAGGTTTAAACCTAAAAACAGCAGCGTTGGTGGATTTTTACGATTTTTCAATATAGAGAGAAACTAAATTATCCAATATTTATTGGAAACCTGGAAAAATTACCGGGTTAGATGAACAACAATAAGACTCTAACTTGTGATCTGTCTTCTGACATTTTGTGATAGTATTGTGATCAGTGCGGGCCGAACGCAATATAAGAATAAACTACTTATCACCGGTATTCAAACCCAGCGTCAAGAGTTCAGATACTTTTTGGCATTCTACCCAAGCATCATGTATATGCATTAAAAGTATTTTAATTATGTATGCATTTTTAATTTACCTTCATAATTTACGTCAATTGCTTGTATAATTACTTGTTACTATGCATAATTTAGAATAAATTAGTTGTTACCTCCGTGGTGTGGGGAGTTTAATCTTCAGCACACCACGACCTCTGCCGGAGTATGATAATATGTTCAAAGGGCTGGGTGTTTGATTGGACTGCACTTTGTCCGATTTTGT